CATCGAGTTCACAATAGACATAACTCGGAATCTAAATGAAGGTATGGATGCGGGGTCCTTCAATTCTGTATTCTTTAATTTTTTCGGTCATTATTCTTTATCTTTAAAAATAATGGCTATTCTGTAATTACTTGCTAACTGTATTCTGGACATTATTCTTTTCTGTAATCGGTATATTTTTACCAAATTTATGTATGAAGGTGAGAGGATGATGATCAGTATAAACCAGAATAGGATGCATAGTGGGATTTAAATATACATCAAAATGTTGAAGTGTAGACAACAGTGCAAAACACTCTTTTTCAACTCCCTCAGGCAAAGTTGACCTTAGATGAATTTGGCTATTTGTTTTAGATATTTTTGTCATATAGCTCTTCAACTGTTTCGGTACTTATATATCCTCGGATTTCAAATATTTGGCTTTGAGCGTTCCTGATGAAGGTAAATCCAGAAAAGCGCTTCGGACGCATGAAATTATTAAACGTGTTGTTTTCAATTTTTGCAATAGTTGAATAATTTTTCTGATGTTTATCTAATTTCTTAGAAAAATATGATATAGGTTTCTCTTATATTATCATCTGTCTCTTGATACAAAACAGCTCCAACTCCTACATCTTGCGTCAACGGCAAGTTTGAATTGTTTTTTTTTAAAGTTTGTAGTGATCAGAACTGGACTATTAATTAAAAGTGATTTGCTATTTTCAATAGCGTATTGACAATTATCACTCCAGATGAATTTAGAATCTTTCCGTAAAAGATGAGTCAATAGTTGAACAACAGTAGCAAAATTTGAACAAAATTTCCTGTAAAATCCAATCATGCTTAAATGTCTCATAAATTATTTTTTATTTGTAGGAGAAGGAAATTTGGTAATTGCATCCATTTAAGCCATAATAGGTTTCACTTGATTGCAACTGTATGCCCTAAATAATCAACAGTGGCCTGACAAAATGTACTTTTACCAAGATTAACAGTCAAATTTGATTGTGACAATCTATCAAAAGTAGCATATAAATGTGTTAAATGTTCTTCCCAGCTATCACTACATACAATAAGATCATCAATATAAGCATAACAACAGTCTAAATCTTTTATAACATTATTGATCATTCTTTGAAATGTAGCTGGAGCACTTTTCATACCAAACGGCATGACAGTATACTGAAATAAGCCGTCTGGTGTTACAAAAGCTGATATTTCACAAGCTCTCTGTGTTATTCTATGTGTTTCCCTCGGTTTTAGTTTGTAACCCGGATTTGTTTTCTCTCAATCGATTTATGACTGTTGAACAGCGGTATACTACTGTTGCCTTTATTTAAGGATACCTGCCAGTAACCTTTCAATAAATCAAATTTGCTCACAAATTTTGCTTGCCCAATATTATCAATGCAATCGTCTATCCTTGGAATCGGATAGGAATCAGATTTTGAAACTGAATTTACTTTTCTGAAATCAGTTACGAAACGAAAGGTTTTATCTGGTTTGGGTACAAGGAGACAGGGAGAGCTCCATTCACTGTTACTCGGCTCAATAATATCATTGTCAAGCCAGGGCCTAATCTAGGATTTTGAAGAGGGAGAAGTTACTTCTCCTTCCATGAGAGAGAAGGGAGAAGTGGTCAACTTCTTGGAGAAGTGAGATTCCATAACCGTTTCGGTTGCATCGTGTTTTCAAGCTTATCACTAAGGAAATTGTTTAATATTCAATAAAAGATGTACTTGCATTTTTTTCATATGTTATTGTACACAATGTATATATAGACAGTTCTTAATAAAAAGGTTTAGACAATATATTGTTGTTATTTATTTATTGATACCATAATGTGTTCTAAATAAAATTTGTTGATTGGGACATGAGGGAGTAGCCTAGTAATATTAACAAGATTATGATGCATTAAATTCATGTACATCTGCCTCAATTTATTTTTAAAACTCCAGAAAAATATGATGAATTTCACATGACTGGGAATTTATCACCACTTGTCATTGTTTTGTAAAACATTATTGAATGTCCAGGACATTTATGTTAGTTCTAGTAAATTGAGATTATCGTTAAAGATTGTAAGTCTATAAATGAAAATATCTTTCAATCTCAAGTTAATTATCCGGTAAAGAGCTAATTTCTATCATTTTTTAAAAATATCATCCATATCAATCAACGAAGTGGTCATGAGAAAAAATCCACTGCTGATCACAATCTGGTCTAGTGTCGTACGTTTGCAATCACATTATCCATCAGCTGTATTTCTACCTTTTATATTTCAATTTTTATTCAATGAATATAATAAATCTACCGTTAATTCCCACCCTTTACCTATCAAATAGTAAAATTGATCGACTCGTGTAGGTAATAAAAATAAAACAAATCAGCTGAGTGATTACGCAACATCCTCAGATGAAAATCATCGTAAAACGATAACTTAAACAGACGGTCAGTTTTCCATTTGAACAGTTTTGAAAGTTATATCCGAGGATGTACAAAGTCGCCGTTGTATTTATTTAATTTGATCTTTAACAGTATTAGTCCTGGGTCGTTTCGAAAATCTAGATTTTCCTTGTCAGTCGCCATTTTTTTTTACCTGTGAGACTTGTCAATCACAAGTTGTCTCCCTTTTACCGATTTTGATAGCGATTTGACTTCGCTATGAAGTCAGTCGGCCGGCGAGATTTAGCGATTTTCAAAATTCTTTGGCGATTTAAATCGTCATTTCGCCGGCAAGATTATGGCCTGCTTGAAGCATATATTTAATTTCTTGTCTCATAAATTCAAGTTTTAGGGGATTGAGCCGGTAAGGATGTTGCTTAATTGGAGAAGCATCACCTACATCAACATCATGACAAACAGCAGTGGTTTTGTTTGGCACATCTGGAAAAAGATTTTATAAAAGAAAATACCAAAGTTTTTAATTTTTCTCTACGCTCAAAAGTCATATGTGCAAGTTTGGAGTCTAAAGGAGTAGGTCCGGTAAGGGCCGATTTTGGCCTCAAAATTCAGGTTCATCTGATGAAAGATTTTGGACACTTTTTAAACACTTAAGTGTCTACTTCAGTCGATTCAATTGGTTTATGTGAAAGATTTGAACTGATTTAGTCATTAAAGACGCTCAAATTCAAGCTTAAATATGACAAATCTATCAAATATGCCATAATATGTCAAGTTTCAGATGGTTTTTGTCAAAAATGAATGTGGCCGCATCCGTGTTCATTCTCAACCTTTATATATGTTATGTATTATCATCAAATACAACTTACATTTAAATATTAAGAATGAACACAAATGTGGCCACTTCCATTTCAGACGGAAACCGTCTAAAAATTAACCAAAATGCTAAAATTTTGAAGATTTCAGTAATTTAGCATGACTTAATGATGCTAGTACCCGATACATGTGCATTGTATTGTCAAAAACAGCCCATATTTATGTAACAGAAGTATTCTTCTTTCCAATAAATAGCTAAAAATTTACATTTTAACAATTTTGCAAAACTGCTTTATTTTGGGGCCAAAAAGGGGTCTTACTGGGCCTACTCCTTTGACAAAATTTCTGAATTTTTCAATCTAACTGTCTCTTCCATAGTCTTAGAATCAAAAGGTGGTTCAATTATATCTGGTTTGTCATGATCGTTCTCCAATTTAACCATGACTAAAGTGGCAACTGGTTTACTCCCACCTTCATTGGTACGCTCAAAATATGGTATAAACATATTAATGTGACACACTCTATTTTGTTTACGCCGACCTGGTGTTTTTACAATATAATTCAAATTATTAATTTTACTCTCTATGGTATAAGGACCACAGTATTTAGCCTGTAAAGGATGTCAAGGGACTGGCAAAAATATAAGTACCTTATCACCAGGCTCAAAAACTCTGTCCCTGGCATCTTTATCATACCATATTTTCATCTTATTAACAGTTTTTTTTTCTGAGCAATTTGACAAGCAGTATACAATGTTTCTTTAAATCTAAATACATAGTCTAGAAGATTCAAGTCAGCGTGTTCAGTAAGCCATTTTTCCTTAACCAATTTCAAAGGTCCCCTTACAGTATGACCAAATACCAACTCAAAGGGACTAAAACAAAGGGATTCTTGAACAGCCTCTCGGACCGCAAAAAGTAGAAAGTGAACACCATCATCTCAGTCTCTGAAAAATTGAAGACAAAATGTTCTAATCATGTTCTTCAATGTTTGATGAAAACGTTCTAAGGCACCTTGAGATTCAGGTGACCATTTTTCTTACAATAATCACTAGTTAGTGACTTCTTCTCAAAAGTATCAAATTTTGGACTAGACATATTATAACTAGATTGACTCTTATTCTGTGCAACAGGCTTACTATCAGTACGCTCGGTACTTTGATTCTTGTAATTTCCACTCGAAGTATCAAAATTTTGACCTTTGAAACTTTTTTTATGTGAAAGGGTATAATTATCCGAAATAACAGCTGCACCTTGTAATGTCTCAACAGTTTTGTCATCTAAATGTGTTTTAAGTCTAAATGAACACACTGCTTGAACTCTTCTAATAACAACAATTGTCTTAAGTTATCAAAACTTTTATCTATTTTCTTTGACGTAAGCCATTTATCAAATATATCTTCTTTTTCCCTAGCAAATTCAACATAGGTTTGTGAATCAAACTTTTTATAAGACCTAAATTTCTGTCTATATGCTTCTGGCACTAGCTCATAAGCTTTCAAAACTTCTTGTTTTACCGTGTCATAATCAGAACTATTTTCTGATGAAAGTACTGAGTAAATTTCAGTGGCCTTGCCCTCAAAGACACTTTGCAGCAATGTAGTCCAAAAAGGCTTCGGCCATTTCAAATTTTGAGCAATTTTCTCAAACTGTGGAAAAAATTTATCAACTGTTTTTTCACAAAATTTGGGAACCAAACGTATATTTTTTGCTGCATCAAAATAAAAATGTTCTGATTTTGACACTACTTTAGTGTTGCTTTCTTCTTTGACCATTTCAATTTTCATTTTCTCCATCTCTTACCTTTCCCTCATTTCAAGTTCTGCCTGCTTTAATTTGAATTCATCTTCTTTTTCTTTCATCTTCTCCATCTTCTCCATCTCTTACCTTTCCTTCATTTCAAGTTCTGCCTGTCTTTCTTCTTTTTCATTTTCCAGTTGTTTTAACTTAAGTTCATGTTCTAATTCAAGCTGTTTTAATTTGATAGCATCAACATTTTCTACCTTGAGTTCAAGAGCCTCTTCACCAAATATTTCTGAGTCAACTAAATTGTCTATTACCAATTTTTTTATAATTTGTTTTCTCATAGATGTTTAGCAATCAACACTAATTTTTCTTTCTTTAGTTTATCAAACCCTTTCAGGTCTGGCGTTTTCAAAAATTTACCAGCACCAAATGCCATATTGTTGACTTTTGTTGGCTAATTCTAATGCAATAAAAATACTGAAAAAATTTTAATCTGATATTAACGTTCTCCCAGACGAGCCCCCAATTTCTGTTACGGCCAGAAATCACCTTTAAATTGTAGCCAACAAAAGACACAAATCAATAATAAAATTTAACAAGATTTATCATACACAAGTTTACAAGAAGTATTACACAAATATAAATGTCAACTTAACTGTCAAAATATATGTCCGATCTTTTGTCTTTTCTTAATCCGTAATTCTTCTCGGGAATCCAAACAGAATTTTCCGTCCAATAGGTCACAATCTAGTATGATGTTGTTCGTAAATAAAAGTGTCAATCCAATTGAGAAAACTTCTGAGAATCCAATGTCTATGTCTGATCTGTAATTTCGGTATCTGTATATATAGTTGTCACGGAAACTTCTAGAACACTATAGAAAGGAAACTCCTAGAAAACTTTCCAACGGAAACTTCTAGAACAATGTAAGAAGTTTAAATTACGGATCTTTTATTATGATCATTCTGGAATCGTTATGTAAGTCAAATAGAAACTTCTTATCATTCCATCAGTCTCTATGATTGTTCCAGTGACTTCTAAACTGCACAATATAATATTATTTTGTAAACAACTATACATGTTATAAGGCCACACAAAACAAATTAGGCCAACTAAATAAATAGTCACACTATCATAACAGTTGTCAATCAAGAAAATCAAGCATCTCGACAATGTCAGTTTCAGAGCATTTTTTGTTTGAATCAGAGTGAATTTTTACAAAGTACGGTTTATTCCTCCCTAAGACAAGATACTTGTATCTACGTTGGCCATTCTTCTTTATGAAACAAAGCAGGACCAACTCCTTTAATTTGTCTTTTAGTTTGGAATGGGGAATACTTGTGTAAAGTGTAGAATAGTCAAATGTTTGGATACTATTGCAAGATGGAAAAGTCTTAAATTGTATGTACTCTAAAATATCTGATTTTTTTAGTATCCACATCTGATTCACGACACCTCTAGTGTAGGTAGTTTCACAATAACTTTGAAGCCCAGCTTTTATTTCTGATAAACTTAATGTTAATAATTTAAAAAGAGGTTTCGTGGAGCACTTGGAAGACCCAGCAATATAAGTAAGGACACTTATGTAGTTTAGGTATCCAATACAGTGAAGGAAGATCCAGTTCTTTATCTTTTGGTTGAAATTCCGAAGGAACATAGAACAGACCTATGATTATCCAGGATTTCCTCCATGGTAAGTGTCGTGGGGGTACATGTTGAGTTTCCAAGAGAATTGTCAATACGTAATTCATTTATCAAGCAGTTTATGTAATGTGATTTAAACACAAAAAACGATGTTGTTTGGGGCTTTATCTGCGGTGACAACAATATATTTGTCATGGAGGTAGGACAGGTGCTTTGCAACATTTGGGTCTTTGAAGATTGATGTAGCATGGGTATTCATAGACACATTCAGTTTTTTAATTATGATTTGTATGAACGACCTTAGTCCATTCGGAAAGGGTATCTATGTCTTCTTTCTCGCGTTTAACCCATTGCCAGGCATAGTCCTCGACTTAATCCAGTAATTTGAAGTTGTGTTTCCAATTGATGAATTTAGACTCAGGATATTTCGGGCCTTTGGATAACACATTTCGCAGAGAAGTGTTATTGACAATGTTTAGGTCACCAGTAATAACGTTGCCAGTCGGATCATATATGAATGGGGGGACTAGCACAGGTGCAATCAGGAGGTTTAGACTTGAAGTCGTCAACACTGAGATCCTGCAACACGTGTCCGTAATTGTTTTGGTAAAGGTATAAGAAGTGATAGGTACAGACTGATCTTTAAAATAGGGAGGTATTTTCGAGGGAACTGATTTGTGTTGAAGGATATTGCCCAATTTGATGGCATCGAGACCTTTGAGGGCAAAGGAGAGTTTTAGAAAGGATCTTTTCTCCTTTTCATCTTTTCCAATGCGAACTGGTTTGAAAAGTCTGTGACTGGCAATATCCGAGATGATAGCTTATGTTTGTATTGGTTTGAATGGGGGTTTGTAACAATGGTTTCCAAACATAAGAAATGTACAGAGAATGAAGTCTTAAAATGGGGTAATGGATAAAGCTCCGTGCGAATGTAATGAATACCTTATGGCTTTTGTATAAATAGCAGCAGGTCATTAATAGAGACATCATGGAGAGTAGGTGATGTAGAATGACTATGACCATGCCTGCGTCTACGTAGAGGAGTAGAGTTGAAAATGTTCATCACATTCGCCGAGCTACAAGAAGGACTAGATAGAAAACCTATATCATCAATTTTGTCATTGTAACCATATGGTGTCGCAGTTCCCAATTGTCGAATCCAGTAGTCTTTCTTTTGTCTACGGAGAGGTGTTGCAAGATGATGATTGTTAGTCCTGTGGTTTATTTTTTCGATGATGCGAACTTGCATAGACAGGATTGAATGAACCGGCTGATTAAAATGCTGGTAAACAATGTCGCTTGCATTGTTATTGATGTCCGATCTATGGCCGCACATACGTTTATTAAGCCTTCCTTTCGTTTCACCGACATATACCAATCCGCAATGGTTACACTCTAATCCGTAAACGAGTTTTGCAATTCAGATCATCGTAGCTTCTGGTAAAGTAAGGATAGCTTAGGTGAAGAGAGTTTTCCTTGTGTATTGGCAAGGAATTGTATAGTAAGACCTACTATACAAATTCTTGGTTTTGGTATCTAGCCTGACCAAACTTTTAGATTTTGTATAGATTTCAGGAAAGTCAATATCATCACCAAAACAGATGATAACTTCAGCATACCAAAGATGACAACTGTATAAACAAAATTGTCAGTGCAAAAGTTGTATGTAAATTCTACTGAAAGAGGTTATTGGCAAGCATCCCTCATGAATAGAGCTGAATAAGTTGCAGTTTTTGTAAGATCATCTGGTATATAAAAATATAAACTTATGCCTTTGTGAATGAAAAAAGGACCTGTAACATAATTTAAAACCTAATGAATAGATTTTTAAATGTTATAGAAGAGTGAATGCTACGTTGATGATTTTATTATCCATAGTTACTAGGGATGTCAACTCGATGAAGATTTAGTAATCGAGTACTCGTTGGATTTACCGAGCGATACTCGAGTACTCGCTCGGAAAAACATCTACAAAATTGAAACACAAAATTATACCCATTTTACGTATTGTGGATCGTTGTCTTATGGACGTAAAACCCTCAACATTATTACCTAGGACTAGATAACAGTCCCAAGAATTTCATACCATAATTAAAAGTTCATTTACTACAAGTACTTATTATATAAACAGGCAATTATTTAATCAATTGACCAATAAACATCTACAGACAAATGATTACTCAAACAACAGTATTTGGGAATCGTAAAAAAAACACATTTAATGATCAACAAAGGGGTGATGATTAGAACTTACTGATGCCTTTAACCATTTTCTGAGGGTCGACACAGGGTGCAACGAATTTGTTCTTATTTAGAAATATTATTTTGTCAACTTTTTATGGGACGAGTCGATTTCTAAAATGATGAAAGTATTTGCTTTGATGGTACAGAGGTGGTGGAATGACTAAGATATGTTCAGCTAAAAGTGTAAGCCCCGGAAAGGTGCTCTTGTTCATAGCCTACCTCTGTTCGAGGGAATTTTAAATGACAATTAAACGCAAACATTCTAAACGTATTTTAACTTTAATAAATTTTGTATTAATATTTAACTTCCCGGGAGGCGCTCTTAATAAAAATATTTTTCTTTAAGAAGACAACAACATTCTAACAGAAAACCGATTAGTCGAGTGTCATTTTGGTATTCGATACTCGGTACAACCGAGCGATACTCGAGTACTCGTTGACATCCCTAATAGTTACATTTGATAAGGGCATGTGAAACCCTTTAAATGCATCATTTTAAAGACTGTCCCATGCAGATTTAGTAGTTATTCTGCTATAAGGCGAATTTTGTCATTGCACTGTCGAATTTGTGGTCCATTTTGTTGGTCATGAGCATGGTAAATCTATTAGTTAAGGTGGAGGCAGTTTTAATATTTCCTAACACCTATCAATTAGAAAGAAAGATAATGTATTAATAAAAGAAAACAAAGGGTATACTTCAATGAGATAGCAACCCGATGAAACACACTAACCAAAAGCCAGAATATCAACACATGGTCTTTAACAAAAGACAAGTGTGATATACTAAGCTCAACCTGAGTCACGAACCATTGGTTGACAAATTTAACACAAACCATCAAAGATCTGTCATCAATTCTTAATTCTCTAAACCATAAAAACAAACAGACAGGCACCTGGAAATGTTTTGGGGTTAAAACAATGGTTTTTCTTAGCCACCCCTTTTTAATCTTTACCCATTAAATAACAGAAAACAGCTTTTTATTTAAAGTTGGAATTATTTTTGATTATGGAATTTTTCATATTTACCTGTGTTTGCCGTTTTGAATAAAAAGTATGCTTCAAGTCTGTTTCTTCAGTAGTATCCTCTGTTCCTTCTGTATTATCATGGTTGTTTCAGTTTTTCATATGCTTATCTGACCATGTTAGAGTTTGTTCAAGCCAGTAGTTTTTGTTCATGTTATGTTGATGCTTATATAATTTGCACAGCACAAATTAATGTATTGTGATAAATCTGTTCCTTGAATGAATAAGTAATTTCATTATGGAAAGTGTTGTGCGCAGCACAGTGCTTTCTATTGAAAAAATGCTGTTGACCACCAAGATCAACTTTTATTATGGAAACTACTGTGCGCGGCACAGAACATTCTATTGCAAAAAAAATATATTATGGAAAGTGTTGTGCATCGCACAGAGCATTCTATTGAAAAAATGCTGCTTACAACAAAGATCAGTTTCTAATGGAAAGTGTTGTGCGCAGCACAGAGCATTCTATTGAAAAGTTGCTGTTGACCACAAAGATCATCTTTTATTATGGAAACTGCTGTGCGTGGCACAGAACATTCTATTGAAAAAAATAATTATGATGGAAAGTGTTGTGCGTCACTCAGAGCATTCTATTGAAAAAATGCTGCTTACAACAAAGATCATTTTCTAATGGAAGTATTGTGCGCAGCACAGGGCTTTCTATTGAAAAATTGCTGTTGACCACAAAAATCATCTTTTATTATGGGAAATGTTGTGCGCAGCACAGAACATTCTTTTGAAAAAAATAATTATTATGGTAAGTGTTGTGCGTCGCACAAAGCATTCTATTGAAAAAATGCTGCTTACAACAAAGTTTATTTTCTAATGGAAGTATTGTGCGCAGCACAGAGCTTTCTATTGAAAAATTGCTGTTGACCACAAAAATCATCTTTTATTATGGG